ATAAGTAAATAAAATCTTAAAAAAAAAAAGAGTCAAATAGGAAGTCTTGGAAGTGAATCCAGACCCCACACAGTCTAAGTCCCTAGAAAATGCTGGAGTTAAAGTTCTCGCTGGAGGACCGCATCTGGCCACAGCAGAGTTCTCCGGCTACCTCAGAGGAAGAGCCAAAATGTTAAGGAGCCCTTGCGCACAATCTCAGGCTAAATCTAGTTTCCTCAAGAGTTTCTGTTTAACCCAAGAATATGAAGTTCACTTTGAGAATAAAACTTTGTTTACCAAAGAATAGATAGAATTCTGATGGATTTAGACTTCAGTTGATCCCTTGAGAGCTCATTTAAATTTTTCTTACTGAATTCAATTTTATCTTGGAGTAGAACCCGCTCAGTACAGACATGGGTGAGCCTATAACTAGAGGCGAAGGTTAAGGGTTAACTCTAACCTCAAGTAGCCTTGTGGTCCACCAGAACTAAAGAGTAGGGAACACCAAAGGATTTAAAGTGGGAATGTACACGTTGTTATTTCTCTGTACTTTCTCCTTTTCTGTACTTCCCTTAGTATGTGAAAAATGTGTCCTATGTGACTTAGAAATCAAATCTGGTAGCATCCTGACAAGAAATGACAGAAAGATAGGCTAAGGATGGGAATCTGTACATTTCCCAGAACAGGTGGGGAATGCAATGACATCTTTAAAGCAACATTCCTCTAGGTCACAGTATTATGATGTCTCTCTGTTAGGAAATGCTAATGTATTTTTCTTATGAACTAAAACTGCAAACTTCTAGGGTTTGCACAAAAAAGAAACTCTTCTGTGGGTATGGGTATCTAGACCAAATATGGGCAAAAGATTCTTGTTTCTTCATGTATAGTTGAGTCAGGTCAAGAACATTTTAAATAGACTTTTCTAGAGACTAGAAGCTTAAAGAAGGAAATACCATAGAGCCAGGGGATCTGCAGTCCGAATATAGTCTCCTTCTGTGGGCATAGTGCCTCTACCGTGGTGCCCAAGGAGGAAGGACAAGACCCTGCCTGTGTTCTCAAAGTCTGCCCCTGGGTGGGCCTGCCTCCTCCTGGAGGCACCGTATTAATATCTACAGTTAGGAATACTCTTCCAGACAACCAGCATTCTCGAAGTCTGACCCAAGAAATTTTGCATGCAGTGACCTACTCCTTGAATTTCTGTTTAATCATATCCTCCTCTGCCAAGCACTGCATTAAACACTTTAAATTCTTATATCATCTAAATATCTTACAAGGTTTGTGTTATTGACCTCATTTTATAGAGAAGAATACTGAGGTTTAAGAGGTTTAAGGTTTTTTGTTTTTGTTTTTTTTTTGTCCAAAGTGACAGAGCTACTTAAGTGATGGGGCTGGGTGACAAACCTGGTTCTGTTAGCCTCCAAAGCACCCTCTTCAAAACTCTGTCGTGCCTTTCAATTTTAGAGTGCTATCCTAGGAGGTTTTAGGTTTCATTTCATGAAAGAAGACAGAATCTCTTTTCACCCACAATATTACAGCTCCTGAAAACTTCTGCCTTGAAACATCCTGTTGTGAACTATGTGCAGGATCCGGTCTCCGTCAGTGACGAGAAGACAAGCAACACAGGGAAGGGAGGAGAGTATTAGGAACAGACAGTTCCGCAAGGGCTCATGTGGACAGCATTCAGCCTCCTCAGAAATGGCCAATCTGTTGCGTAGCTGCCTTCCTCAGCACTGTTTAAGTTTTAATTATCTTCCAACTGTCTGAGCTGCTGTTGAGGATCAGTGAGAACAAAGCACTGGAATAGGGCGCTGCTCTATTCTTCAGCAGTGCCCCTCTCTGCACACTGATGAAGTCACTAGCTGCCACTGCCCTTATTATCAGGTTAAATCAGAGTCTGACTGTGCTTTGGAGAGATGATGCTGAAAGGAGAAAAAAAAATTCATCTCAAGCTCTCCCCCTTATTCAGAATCTTTGGTGACAGAGAAAATGTGAGATCTACTCCTGTTTAGGTATTATGACCCAGAAGCGAGTTACGCTTTGTTTTTCAAAAAAAAAAAAAAAAAGAGGGTATGTGCTATGGTGAGCATTGTGAATTGTGTAAGACTGATGGATCACAGACCTGTACCCCTGAAACAAATAATACATTATATGTTAATAAAAAAATTCTTTTAAAAAGTGAAAAAGAGAGGACCCTCTTCCCATCCCCATCCCTTGGATTTTCAACAGCTCAGGGAATAAAAACTTCTCCTCTGCCTCAGGGATGCTCCATTGTGAGAGAACCCCGCTCTTCGTCAGGGCTGGAGTCCGTGCTCGCAGCCTCTCTCTCTAGCCCACTGCTCTTGGGTCCAGGCCTCTGAGTTCTCGGTGTAGAGCTCCAGGTTCCCCTACTGGTCACTAAAGTTGGGGGATTAGTGGAAGCCCATTTTCTACTTCCAGTGCAGATCTTTAGTGAAGAAAGGAGTCCTGTGCTAAACCACTCCTCGCTGGGAAAGAGGAACATAGTGTCTTTCTTGTGACTTTGTTACCATTTTTTTAGAATGTGTATTTGAATAAGGACTTCATGCCATTTTTGTAAATTATGCTATAATTTTGAGGAGACTTAGAAAGTATCGTAGGACCAGAATAATTAAACTTGTTATGAGCATTTACGTGTAACGGGCTAATCAAGTAGTGTGATGTACAGTGGCGAATTGCTAATTTGACCTCAGGATTATGCAGCAGAGATAACATTATCTTCATTTATAGAGAACTTTTTATCTGGAGGCATCTCTCAGTGCTTTTCCAACCATATATATTATCTTGTTTGTTATCACGAGCACTATTCATTAAGGCTGTAAAATGTATTGCAGTACAATTTTCTGTTTTCAATTTCTTACAATTGGGGGATGGAGGAGGGAAAGGTTGCATATTTTCTCCCATTTTTGATATTTGCACCAGGGTTAAATTTGGGAAATGACTATTATCTAAAGTTGGAGAACCTGGTTCCATATAACGTTTTTTATAAAAAGGAAGAAAGGGAGGGAGGGAACATGACCGCATCCCCTTAAGTCCACCCGGACTATTAACCTTAAGAACTGCCAATGGGGAAGGGCCTTCTCAGTCGCTCCCTGGCTCCTCTCCCTTGCACAGTATTAGGAGAGCTGCCTCTCCTTTGGTGGAGACTCGACCTAGGGAACAGGAAAATGATCTGATCAAATTCCCCAAACCACATTCCCTCGATTCCCTCCAAGGTTACAGACAGCAGCACTCAGGCTGTCACGACCATGAGCAGTTGAAAATGCTATGCTGATTGTGTTCCCGTGGGTTTAAGGAAATGGACAAAATTAGATTCAGGCCAATGTGCCAGGCTTAACACACCCCTTCCCTTCCAGAAAGTCTATAGAGACTGTCCCCGCCAACGGGAAAGACCAGCACAATTCCTGTTCCTCGCAGACCATTTAGAACTTATTTTACTCAAACCCTACCTACCCACCCAAACACACTAGCATCAGTACCTTCTGTCTGCCTTGAGGGCTCGAGAGGACAGCTCAGGGCCAACCTCCTGCTTAACCAGAGGGCTCTGATGAGCGCAGCCGTCGCCCTGACTCTCCATACAGGAAAATTGGTGTCTCCCTGCAGTGGGCATGGGCACACTGAACAGCCAGCCCAGAAGATAGCATTTAGATTGGTTATGAAGATGAGTGACCAGCTCATGTCAAGGAGCAGATGGCTAAATGAGGTGTACCAGGAATGCCGTGAGATTCATGCTTGAAGGAACAGGAGGGAAAATAGCTCATGACATAAGAACCCCAAGTATAGTCTCTGTAATGTGAATTTTTTTTTTAAATTGGCATTTACATTACACAGTTAACTTGGAGTGATGAGAAATGTAAGGGAATTACCAAATTAGTGAACAGCGATTAACTCAGAAGTAAAATTATATCATCGAAGTCGAAGGTGGTTTTACACAGCACAGGAAGGATATTACTAAAACCTTGCCCGGTCTGTCATCTCCTAATTGAAATGTGTTCATTTAATATGCCCCATCCTTCAGAGCGCATAGCTCATAATTTGAGAGAGTGTTATCACTTAATCTAGTTATTTTTTCCGGTTCTTCCTTTGAATCCCAGTAAGACGATGTGTGGCACATTCCCCAGCGATTTGTGTGACACTCAGAAGAATGAGTTTGTCTGTTCATTAACCTGTGAGCTGTCAGGTCCCTTTGGAGAGTGAAAGGAACAAGTCACTTCAAGGTTAATGCTTGTTTGTCGGAGGTGAAGCCTCCAGGGAGATACAGAGGGTGAACAGGCCGGGATGCTCAAGACCTGCCCTGTGAAACCCTGCACTGTGTGCAGATGTCAGATCCGTGTGGCCAGAAGGGAGGCTGCAGAGCAGGCTGGGTCACCTCTGCAGATCACTTCCTCTGGTCAGGAGGCTTCCCAGCAGTCAAGCTGGAGGGGGTAGAGGTGGGGGGGGGGCGGGTGGCCGGGCTGGTGTAAGTATATAGGGTTAACTTTCTACAAGGATTTAGAAGCAGTGTTGAAATATAAAAAACTGTGAGTGGTTTTTAGTGGTTTCTGTGGATTTTTCTGTTAAGAAGGCAGTATTGATTTCATGCATTTGTTTCCAATGGATGAACTCTTTCCTTGAGTTGGAAAACATTTTATTTGGCGAGTGTTGGTGTACCTGTGCACAGGCACATTCCTAACCACAAGGCGAATATAGAAGCCGTGATTCTCCAGCGTGAATGTCTCATGGACATATAATTATACTGACATTTAGGGGTTGATCTTGAACGGTACCTGGTTTGATTTTCTAGGTAAATCAAATCTAAGTTCTGCTTAATTCTCCGGAAAGTGGTATCTCCCTAATTTTGCTGTAATTCTTCTGGGCTCAGTTGGAGCTAGCCCTAAGGAGCAGGTAGAGGTTCTGAAGTCAAGTTCAAAGTCTCCTTTAGTCCATGCCCTGGTACACTATATATTTGCACAATGTATCTTATTCTATTGTCTTTGGATTGGTTGTGATGGAAGCTCATTTTCTTCAACAAATTTTCTTTTTATCCCCAGGTATATTCGAATAGTTGGGACTCACAACACAGTGAACAAGATTTTTCACATTGTGGCTTTTGAATGTATGTTTACAAACAAAACCTTCACTCTTGAGAAGGGGCTAATAGGTAAGTATTGCAATTATATTTTTTTATATATGGTTTGATATTTTATCTTCAGTATTTTGCTACCTCATTAACTCATCTTAACCCACCTTTTAATCAGCTTTGACTAAGAACTGGTTGGTTTGAATGCTTTATGGCTGAGTGACATAGGGGAAGTCTTACATTTTTTAGAAGTAGTCAAAATAATAATTCTAGTAAACATAAAAGACTATAAATGTTACACTAGGAGTTAAGAATTGAAAATGTCCTAGTGATGCATTTCAGATTTGCTATGTGGGGAATGCTTATGATAGTCCGGCAAAGCCTTTTACACCAAAGGCTTTTCTATATTTAATGGTAGGTAAGATCAGAGAAGTCTGTAGAATATTGATCCAACACTCATGCTTTCCAAGGCTATGGAGGTATTTTGGCCTTTAATTGGATATGAACGGTGCTCGCTATGAGACTATCTCCTTTTCATGGACACATCAGTCCATATTTGCACTGTTGAGCCAAGTTTGCCTCAAGAAAATGCCTGCCTATAATTTAAATAAGACCAGAATTACTGAATTGTCATTGTGAAAGTCAAGTTATCTTGTGGGAAATACTGTCTGACTGATCTTTCGGAAGAGTATTTTAAATTTTGGTTTAGTTGTTATTTGGTTGTTTTCTGTTGTGTTGTGTTTTTGTTTTAGGTAATATTTAGTGTGGCATTGTGTGCAGTCCAGCCCAGGTCTTGACATTCTAGATAGTGTGAGTGGCTTTTCCCACCTAGCCGTGCCCACGGCTTTTTACACACCTCCTGCAAAGATCCTGGTTTGACTGACTAGATCCTCGAATCTGTCTTTACTGCAGCTTCTTTGAAAAGGGACTCTGTATGTCCAGGTGTCCCTGCCTTGGTATACCTAACTTTTGTCTTTACGAAGGTCCCCTCCATGCTGGGACACGTAGCATATTGACACATGTCCTAAAAACACAGTGATGACTAGAATGGGAAAGATGAGTATAACTTGCAGATATTTACTATTTCTTGGGATGGTCATAAGTCTAAATGTCCTTAAGACCTGCCATGTCCTAAATGTAATCCTTTACTTAGGGAAATTTGGAAGAATGTTAGTCAGGTGGCAGGAGTAGCCATTATTCTAACATACAGAGAAATCTTAGAGCTCAGCTAAAATAAATTTGTTTTACCTTTGTTATGGATGTAACTTTTACCATTAAATATAAATGTTACTCATTGTTATGACTTCTAAGTAATTTGAGAGTTAACACTGCTGAAGCATTACCTGATATTATCAAGGCTTTTAATTCCGTGGGCTGTGTGGAATTTTGGCAATAGATGGCTGAGGGGAGGATACATCTTTTCACCGGCTACCCTTGCTGTGTTATAGACAATAGGCCCCGCTGCGTATGTGATTGTGTAGTTAAGGGTGTCCTTACTGAGGAGACTCTTAGGAACCCAGCCACCTTCACAGTCACAGCCCGGGTGCCATTCAGCGACTCATGTCAGCCCAGCGCACTGCATTCTGGAACCTACCGCACGGCAGGCACCATCTACTTCAGTCAGTGTCCCCTTCTTATTGGACACTGTAATTACCCAAGAAACAGGTCTGTTAGGCCTGAGAAGCCATTACAGGGTGAAACTCAGGATCCATTGTAGTGAGGGATGCTGTTGTTGGTCTGCATTTTTTGTCCAAAGTGAGCTCGTCAGCATTATCAGAAGCCGTAATGGTCTCGGGCATGTCAGGGGATGAAAGAAGATCGCAGAGCTGCAGGAAATGTGTTTGGTTTCTGGTCAAACACTTTTCTTCAAGCCCTTTTCTGGGATGCTCCCAAGTTTGACTGCAGAGAGCACCGCAGTCACCTGCCTGTCATCGTCCCTCACGTGAATGGGAGCAGGGGGCGGGCTGGCAGGCATTTACGTGTGCTCGTCGGTAGATGGCCTGCAGTGGGATCCCCTCTGGCCCTCCTCCTACCATCTTCGCAGCTCAGAGCTGTCCCCACGCTGGGCAGACAGGGAGGTAACGTGAGTCGTGGAGGCGCACAGGGGGATTTCATTATCCTCTGTCCAACATGGCAGCTCTGCTTAGTTTCCAAGGGTATTTGAAATAGCAATAGCCAGCTTTCCATATTGATGATCTCAGATGCATTTTGGCTGCACACAGGCCTCAGCCACCCACCCTACAGGGACCTCCAAGAAGGGAGTGGTCCTCTAATTGGGGGTACCATGTACATCAGAATCACCTGGAGTCACCTTTAAATTGTAGCACTTACCTCCTTCCTGTGTCCTGTGAAATATGCACTCCTTCCTTGAGAAGCACAGATAGACACTCCAGGTTTTCATGGGGACAAAAAGTAAAAAAGTAAAATAATGTTATCATGAATAACTAGTAGGGTGTTAACCCTACTTTTACGCTTTAAGATACAGAACTTCTCTCTTTCACAATTCCTGCTCTTTGTTTCAGAGTTCAGGCGACTCTCATTAGAGCAATACTCTCCTTATAGGCCTCAAAATTACTTTAAAAATATTTGCACTGTTTTTTTTTAATGAGATTTTAATGTTATTACTGACAACATATAATGATACCAGGAAAAAATAAGCTTTGTAAGATTTTAGTCTTGTTTCCCACCAAAGGGTTTCTTTCCCATTTTTGTTGACAGCATGTCATTCTTTATGCATCTTCACTTGTATAGATAGGTTCATGGGGGAGCCTGGGAACCCTGTGGGTTCATATATCCATGGGAACGGGCCTCCCTGCGACCACACTGACCAGATCTGGAGGCCTGCTTTTTCCCACAGCGCTTCTCCCACCTCATCTGCTGCTGCCACCACAGCCCCTTCTCATTGGGCGTCAGCTTCTGGATCATGTTGGGTGTATCCTCTCCTGGGAGAGCCAGCCTGTGATGACCGTCTCCTCTTTGCTGGGAGGCGTTTATAGGATTTGCTAACCTGTCTTACCAATGAGGCGTGGAAGGAGTAATTAGAATAGATATGAGCGCTATCCTATAAACATTCAATCTCCCACAGAATGCATTTGCTTTTGCCTTGGCATTCCACCCTGTGACATACACATGACATTTGCCAAGTCCTTGCAGCTTTTCAGAATAATTGCCAAGCTTCCTTTCATTTAGTCTTGTATTTAAATTCATTTCTTTGAACACCTTATTATTCAGGTAGAAGGAATAGTACCCACCACCCAGCTTAAAGAACTATTAACTCACAGACAATCTGTTTTATCTATATGCTACCCACTTCTTCCCTATCAGATTATTTTGACACCAATCCCCAATGGTAATTTTATCATCTTATCCAAAATATTTCAGTATGTATCTCTAAAAGTAAGACTCCCTTTTATAGCCATAATGACAATATCATTATAATACTCCAAAACTGAACTATAATTTTTGTGGATATTAAATATCCAATCAGGGCCACCTGGGTGGCTCAGTCAGTTAAGCGTCTGCCTTTGGCTCAGGTCATGATCTCGGGGTCCTGGGATTGAGCCCTATGTCCGGCTCCCTGCTCAGCGGGGAGTCTGCTTCTCCCTCTGCCCTTTGCCCCCGCTCTTGCTGTGCTCTCTCTCACCATCCTCTCTCTCTCAAATAAATAAATAAATCTTAAAAAAAAATTAAATATCCAATCAGTGTTCAGATGTCCCTAATTGGATCAAGTCTAGAGAGTTTATGTGTTTTTACAGGTTGTTTAAACCAGAATTCAGATAAGGTCCATACTGTCAATAAGTAGTCATTATGACTCTTAAATCTCTTTAAATCTATAGGTTCCCTTCCACATGTCTGTCTAGCTCTGTCTCTCTCTCTTTTTTTTCCTCTCTCTGATTATAATTTGTTGAAGAAACTATTTGGTTTTTTTCCTGTAGAGTTTCTAACAGCCTAAATTTGGGTGATTAAATCCCCATGGTAATATCTAAGATGTTTCTCTGTTGTACTTTCTGTAACTTGGTAGTTAGATAGATTCTGATTCAATCTGATTCAAGTTCTGGGATTTTTTTTGTTGTTGTTCTTTTTTTTTGTGAAAATGCTCCGTAGGTGGTAGTACATATGTTTATTAAGAAGCACAGAAAATCTTCGGTTATCTCTCTCTTTTGGATATTCCCATTCATTCGGAGTATTTCCTAGATTCATTATTTCATAATTTGGAATTGCAAAATGATTATTTTCGAATTGTATCATTCTTTATTTGGTGGCTAGAAAAATTCCCTCAACACACATTTGATAATCCTGAGATGCAGCTTGCCAGGGAATAGAAGGATAGTTACCATCTTCAAATAAAGAGGTAGTTACCCAGCATCCTCCATAGGTGACCAGTGAGATTTGTTTGTGGGGAGTGTTTGGAGGGGAAAGAAGAGGAGTATATATCACTTTCAATTTATGGGACTAAACAAATTGGACACCTTTTAATCACTTGCAGTTATTATTATTGACATTCAAGTTGTCCCCATCTTTAGCCTCTTCATACTGACCCTTGAGTCCTTCTGACATGACCTGCATAGTCCTTAACACTTCCCTGATTTCTGGCATGACACGACATCCCAGGTTCATTTTGTACATTTCCTGCCCTGATCTGCGATCAGCCGTTTCTTCAAAAAGCCCTGGTTTCTTTCAGTGGGAAATCACATTTGGAAACCTCCCAGTGGAAGCATTTGCTACTGGTTTGGTCACTATTTCTGGGCCTTTCTGGTGGACAGAACTAGGAAATACATGCACATTTATTTATCATATATTTAACAGGTAAAATATATCATGAGTGCATGCTGACACTTCTAATTAAAATTCAGTATGCAAGGTTTTGGTTTAGCCCTTGATCTTGCAGCTCCTTTTTCCTATACTAAAAATCTTGGTGACCAGTGATACGGCACAGTAATTCATTTGCTTTGTCCCCAGTACATACAAAATAATCTCAGAATTACAGTAGCAGTGCTACCATATGGTCACTGAAAATAATTTAAGATTTTTGCAATTATTTTGGGGGCCTATAGGGTATATCCACTAGAGATATATATTAA